TAAGACCCTACTTACTTTGAATTTTGCATTGATGCACTAAATGTCATTGTACCTGGTGCCAATAAAGATATTCTATTCTACCTCTCCAGATACTTTCAAATTGACGAAATCTGGATTACCCGTGCTCTATATACCAAAATGTAGGGTGAAAACTACGAGGCAGGAAAAAGAAGCCAACGCAGACGTGCAGAAATGTCCGATCCACACATGCAGTCAACAGGTCCTTCTCGGGGGACAGGTTTCTTTTAGGACAATTAAACAATCATAAACATGTGTTTCCGACTCCTTTTTTTTTTTAAACGCACCACCAACACACAAGTTATTCCAGTCATGTTGTAATAAAGAGTGACTCAGCATCTATTTGTGGTGCAGTCAGATGTCTCACATGGCATTTAAAGAGACATCATACATTTCTGAGAAAATCAAATTACCCATAAGATCATAAAGTTGGTTTCATTCTGAGTTAAACATTTACGATGATGACATGATGAGCACATGCTTGCCTTATCAGAAAAAGGACTTTGAAATGGTAAGTTGCATTAAGAAATCCAGGCCCAGATGTCTAAAAAGTTCAGTTCAGAAGATGTTGATGAAATCTGGATTACCCGTGCTCTATATACCAAAATGTAGGGTGAAAACTATATGACAGGTGTATTTGTCAAGTGGCGACCACGAGGCGGGAAAAAGAAGACAACGCAGATGTGCAGAAAACTGTCCACTTGTGTCCACCTGAGCCAAGGGATCCCCATTAAGTGCCCCATTAAAATGTCAGTTTTTACAGCGGAAATAAACACTCTTACAGCTAAAGGCCAGCCTCAGCCTGGAGATTGTTTAAAGGTCAGGAGGAGATTGTATTTCCAATGGTGACCACCAAGGGGTGACGTCACTGACACTACATTGATGTCTTTGGTCTTTGCAAGAAGGGGGGTAACCTTTACCCACAACTTAAACATGAAAAAATGATGACGCCATCATGTTCTCTTTTTTTTTTAAAGATTTATCTTTTGTGCCTTTAATGGAGAGATAGGACAGTGGCTAGATCTGGAAATCAGGGAGGGAGAACATGCAGGGAAAGGAACCCTAGGTGGGATTCGAACCCTGGGCCGCCCGCTTGGAGGACCATAGCCTCCATACATGGGTACCGCACATTAACCACTGCTCCACCAGCACCCCCATTGTGTTTTTTTTCATATGTAATCATAATCTTAAGGGCATGTTTTGACCCAATGTTGAATTCAGATGACATCAAAAGTCCTTCAACCAATAACTCAAAAACGACTTTGTCAGGTACCGTGTCATGAACTCACTTCAGTGTCTCTGTGAAACCCTCAGAACGAAAATGCAGCAACATTGTAAGACAAAAAAAAAGAGAGGGAAAACTAGACTTGATTACCCGGGACACTAAATACAGTGTCCCCTAAACCCCACCACTCTATTTCTTCTTTTCTTCCCACCTGTATCTCCTGACTCCAGAGCCGCATCCTTCTCCCCCTAATCCCTGTAAGCCGTCATAATGAGAGAGAGAGAGAGAGGCGACCTTGCAAGCCACTTACAGAGCAAACACGTTTCACAACCAGCGCTGGGAGGAGGAGGAGGCCTTGAACTCGGCCTGCAGACACATCAACTACAGTAAAACATAGAGACAAGAGAGGTCATTAACACAGATACAGCGGCTCTTTATTTGAGATAGCATGTCATCTCTGCACCTGTTGTACTGTCAGGAATGCTGTCTAAGAGAAAGAGAGCACGCTGCAGCCACTAGAGGGCAGCACAGTCGTTCTAATATTGCATAACTGCCCCTGCTGGAGAAAGTGTGTCACTGGGCCACGGCTCCCTGCTGGTGAGCTAATAGAGTGTGTTGACCTGACCTCAAGACAGAAAGTATCACAGAGGTGGATTAAGGAGCAGCTCGGATTAGCAAACAAGGCGCTTCTTCTTCAAGTTTCCACTCCTGTCTAAATCCCTCTTTGTTTGTTTAAGTGATGCTGTAAACTCTGTGTAATCTGAGAAGATTTAATACGTTTATGTGTCATGAAACCATGAGTGTCAGATGCATGAAAAAAAGTTGCTAGGGGCAATATAATGGTGGGTCTGGGGGCAGATGTCACATGTCTTTTCCTTCATCATGATGTGCTCTCCTTGTGATGTCACAGTGGGATTTGAACACAGTCAGTGGCGTCTTTTGTGTGATTTCTCCTTTAAAGATCTATCCCTTCCTTTTATGAATTTTATTGCTTTTAACCTTTTTTATTTTTCTCTTCTTCAAATGTTTTAGCCTTAAAATGTATCCCTTCCGGTATTCATTTTACTGCTCAAATTCCTACTCCTTTTATCGTTTAACTCTTCAGCTCTCTGTTGCTTTATCCATTTAACCAATGTCCTGTTAATCCCTTCTTTTTATCTTCATTCTGTGTTTACAGCCTGTGATGTGATGTCGTCCCACTCTCCCTCAATTTTAATTTTGTTCTCTCCTGGTTGATTTTAAACACATTTTCCTTCACTGTACTGAACTGCCTCTCCATACCTGCCTGTTGGATCTGTCTGTTATTTGCATTTATACAATTTTGCCCTCTCTGTTGATCTCTGTTCTGTTGTCGTGTTTCTGTATTTGCTTTGTCTGTCACAGCACTTTGTAAACATTTGTTTTTAAAGGTGCTATATAAATAAAGTTATTATTATTAATATTATTTTATTATTCTGGTAAAGAAGTCCCCTCCTCTCCCCTGGTATCTCCAACCATGGACTCCACCCCCAGCCATAGAACAAAATGTTTGAACAGGTGAGTCAGTGGCAGGTCAAGCTCTTTAAGGAGTGTGTTGACAGGCAGGTGCTCTCTCCTCTCATTGGTTGATCGTTGAGGCTGCACACAAATCGAACCTGTATACCCACTCTGCAGCACATGCACAGTTGATCTCAAGTGGATGATATCAAGCCTGAGGAATGCACCACACCCCATACACACACAGGTACACACCAGGGTCAACACAAGTCAACTCATAACTCCTGCTCTTTTTTAAAGCGTCCTGAGATAGTTTGGTGCCGTATACACGTAAATAAAAACCGATGCAATAGTGAGTCAAAGACCTGCGTTTTTAAAGGAACATAATCTGAAGCTGAAAGTCTGTTGAATAGAATACTTGGCAACCATCTCCATGGTATGTCTTATTTCTGACTGGGAATTTTTTGCTGATTCAACAAACAGAAAAAAACGTTACTATGTGGAGTTTTGTTCTTACGATGACCCTCCAGCTGAAGGCCATAAAACAACACCAGTAATGTTTATTATGTCAGTCACGCTGCAGAGCTTTTACCTTTCAGTCCTTGTTGTCTTTTTGTGTTCGTCACCTCCAGGAGTTAGAAATAGCCGCCGTATGCGACCACAGAGATGTCTGCATGGTGCTGTTTGTGAAGTGGTGACATGCTTTGTGCTTTGGCGGCTCAAACTGTTGCATCAGAGAAAAAAAAGTTGCGGCTCTGACCACTCGCTTGAGACTTTGCAGGTTCCCTCTTCTCCCCTTCTGCAAAAGAGATGATGTTGCACACCTTTATATGCAAAATGTAATCTTTCTTTGTTAAAGAAATTGATTGGAAGCATGCTGTCACACCGCTCAGATGAAGTGAAAACATGTTCGTCTTGATTTCTCAGAACTCTTAGGAGATTGTGTGTCTTCACATGCAGGCCCCTTCATGTCCTACTTAAACAGGAAGCCAAGTTATTGTTCTAACATGACCGAGGCAATCAGGCAACCTGATTTTGCCACCGCTCAGCACTCACCACATGAAATGTCATTCGACAATCAAGTGTGTTAAAGCGATTTACAGTCTCAACATGTTTAAGATTATTAACATTCCTATTCTTCTTTCACATTTCAAATTCTGTTAGTAGTGTCCGTCTGCAGTTCACTTTCATGCTCTGTTGTCTTTTTTTTAATCATGTTATTGTGTCGTAAAAATATTATCATACATGCCCTCATCACTCCCCGGCTGGATTATTGCATTGGAGTCCTATCCTGGGGTACCTGGCAAAGAAAAAACATCATCCATGATTGATTCATTTGTAATCTCTTCGCTCTCCGCCCCTCTCAAGCCTGTTTTACTGGGACAAACGTTTTTTTGTGTGTGCAATCATCGCCATGCCAACCCTTCCACCAGCCTTTATGTGTGCACTGGGTGTGGATGAGTCTGCAAAGAACGCTGGAATCAAGCCAACTCTTTCTGGCTCTCATGGATTAATGCCAACCACACCTTTTAACATAACATCTCTCTCGCCCTCTCTCTCTGTCTCTCTCTGAAGGGATCCTCCCTGCAATGTTGTCAAACACTTACAATACTAATAAGAATAAAAATAACAAGCACTAGGCGGTTGTATTTTGAGTTGACACATTTGTTCTTTGGGCCTTATTGTGATCCATGTGGCCTATGAATCTGGAGTTTGCTGCAGCTTCTCAAAAATAGTTGCAGTGAAAGTTGTGATGTTTTGAGGCCCATTTTTTTCAAAGACATCACTTTGATGCAATTCAAAAGTACATTTTTATAACTAACACTGCACATACCAGCATTGCTGACATTGTAGCTTTAAATCTATTTCATGTATTGCTTTGCATTTAATTGTTCAGTCGCTTTCTTCCTGCATCTCCCTCTATCCCTCTGTCCAATCCCCTCATCATCATGAGCCGGGTTCTGCCTCTTAAAGGACGTCAAAGCAGACATACATCTGTACATTTTTTTTAACAGTGATTTCCCACATGGTTATGGGTTACTTGTTTTCCCATAAAGGTTCCAAGTGAGGAAAACAGAGTTTGTTCAAATGTCCGCTTAGGGCTTCCGTACATTTCAATATTATGAGATCAATTTTTTGTTTCATCGTCTACCGGAGCAAAACGAGTCCGTATAAAAGTTTGTATTTTTGTCATGAATGTAACAATGATAGATTAACTTTCCTTTGTGTGCAAGTTTTTATTCATTCATCATGATTTCAAGGAAGAACAAAATACCTCACAGGCATGTAAATGGTAAGTTAGTGATTTTTATTCAGTTGTTTAAGAAAACAGTCACCACAGGGATTTCATTTGTGTCATTTGGCCCCACCCAAGGGTGCGGACGAAGTGTTCACTCATTGGGACAGAGCTCGTGGTAGCAACAGGCAAGATCAGCTACGGCCGAAACAAACTCTTGGAAGTCGACCACATTATCTCCGTTCTGGTCCAAGTCTGTGAACAGCTTGTTGATCCCAACCTCGCACGTTGACTTCTGTGCAAACCAACAAAAGAACAATAATATTAAAGTTATGGTACAGTGTGTGCGGACTTTTTTTTTGTTTTTTTGTAAAGTCCCAAGGAGGTATTTATGATTTAAAAACGGATAAAACTTCATGTTGAGGCAGGAAGTAATGATGGGTTGGACTTTTTAAAATATTTAGAGGTTTAATCACACAAAATCTACCTTAACAAGACATGAACAACATCAGCAGAGCTTAAAAATACAAAGTCAAAGTTGTGCTGGATGCCAACGCTCAAAAAACTATGATGAATTGAATCAATCAAAATGCATGCATCTTATAAAGAAACACAAAACACATGGAAAAACACAAACATTTCTAGACCAGTGGTACTCAACTCGTCTAGCCTCAAGACCCACCACCTTCCTCTGTGAAAAATTGTGGCCCAAATTTCTGACATTTTTCGACCAATCAGATTTATTTTCTAAATAAAAATGGGGAAGGACATCAGTCGGTTCAAAAACACGTGCCAGAAGGAAAAAAAACTGATTTGAAAAAACATGTTTATGAAGATTTTTTTTTTCCAGGCACACATTCGCGACCCACCTCTGATTCACGGCCCACCAGTTGAGAACCACTGACCATGAGGGTCCTTAAAGTTCGATGCTTTCAAACACTGATCTAACCCTGATAATAAATCCAAAAATTAGATAGAGGTAATCATTATTTTTGCTTTCTTGTTCTTCCAGTCCCTTAGCCTCTTTTAAAATTTAGCATAAATCCACAATAAGCAGCATTTACTAAATTAGTTGATATATCTCCAAAGTAATCATATCTCAGCGCAATTATCACCACAGTCTGTACAGCTATCTGTCAAGGTGTGTACCGTACCTCGAGCAGTTCAGGCATCTCCGTCTGTATCAAAGTCTTGAACTCGTTCTTGCTTAAGGTCTTCTTACAGCCCTCAACACTGGCATATTTATTGTAGGTCCCAATCAGGAGGAAAACGGCTTCCTTCAGGTTTGTCATGCATGGTTCTGGCTGGGCTGACATGTTTAAGAGTAGAACTGAAGACTCGACGGAGCTGCAGATGGAGTGGAAGGCTGAGGCAGGCAGCTCTCTTTATACATTAAAAACAGGTTTGGGAACAACTAAAGCCCTACAACTCCCTTTGTGCATATTAGTGAAGAGTAAACATGTTTATGGGCATTGAATGTTTTTATAGACTCTGATATGTGCTCATTTGTTCAAGAAAACTAATGCGATCATTTTGCAGGTCTTTGGTGTCCTGTTCAATAACTGATTAGGTGACCTGCCCAGCCTCAGTGGCCGTCTACCAGATAGATTTCTACCGATAACGTTGGCTGGTAAAATGGCAAATACAGTGCAACCATTTGCATTAGCTTTGACGTTTGAGGAGGAGGATGCCCCTGAACAACCAAAAGTTGAAACAATTCAACTGAAAAAGGAGTCGGGCGCAGTGCTTTTTGAAAAGGCGTCATCCTTTTTCCTTTTTCCATAGGCTTGTATGTAAAAAAGGCGCTATGAGTTGAAAAAAGCAGTGTGAATAGAATAGAATTACTTAATTGATCCTAAACTGGGAAATTGTGGCGTTACAGCAGCAGGTTATCCAACACACAATATGAACAAATAAACACAATATAATATTAAATAGAAAGCAAATAAAAATATCAAAACTAAGAATGAGAATATATACAACCAGGATTTAACTAAGCATTACTAGTCTTAAATATGAAAAGATTAAATACAACAAACTTTGCTGGAGGTAGATGTAAATGGACAGTATTGACATGGGGAGTTGTTCAGAGTTGTGCAATCAGTGATACATAAGTTAAAGTGCGTGAGTGTGACATAATAAGCAGAAACTATACAATATAACGGCGAGTAGACAGCCAAATGAAGTGAACATGAGTGCAGGGATAATTTGTAAATTTAACATGTGCAGAACAGATTACAGTATGGAGAGACAGATATTATCATGATGACAGTTCTCTGCTCGCATGAGGTGAGCTGCTGTACAGAGTTATGGCCTTTGGTAAGAAAGATTTCTTGTATCTGTCCTTGTGACAGCAGAGTTGTATCAGTCTGTTGGAGAAGCTGCTCCGCTGTTTGTCCAGTAAGGTGTGCAGAGGGTGATCAGGATTATCCATAATGGATAACAGTTTGTTAAGAGTCCTCCTCTCTGTCACCACTACAAAAGAGTCCAGCTTGCAGCCTATCACAGAGCAGGCCTTCTTTATGACTTTGAACACGTACCTTATTTGTGAAATCTTTAAGTACCTTCACAAGATGCTCCTCATTTATATACTACTGATTTAACTACAGGCTGAAATAACAAATCTCGTAAATGTAGGACTCTCTTCTCTTACGACTTAATTCTAGTAAATGTACAAGTTTGTATTCGTAAATGTTTGACTAAATCTAACAATGATATATTCATTTTCCTTTGTGTGCAAGTTTTAATTTATTCAGGGCACTGGTGGCGCAGTGGTTAGTGCATGCGCCCCATGTATGGAGGCCATGATCCTCCAAGCAGGCGGCCCAGGTTCAAATCCCACAATTCATGCATGTCATTCCTTACTCTTGCTCCCTGATTGCTGACTCTATCCACTGTCCTATCTCTCAATTAAAGGCACAAAAAGCCCAAAAATAAATCATTAACAAAAAAAAGTTGAGTAACAATGATAGATTAACTTTCCTTTGTGTGCAAGTTTTTTTTCATTCATCATGATTTCACAGAAGAACAAAATACCTCACAGGCATGTAAATGGTAAGTTAGTGATTTTTATTCAGTTGTTCAAGAAAACAGTCACCACAGGGATTTATTCTGTGTCATTTGGCCCCACCCAAGGGTGCGGACGCAGTGTTCACTCATTGGGACATTTGGTTCATGCAACAGGACAGAGCAGATATGGTCGAAGCAAACTCTTCGAAGGTGACCACACCATCTCCGTCATGGTCGAACAGAGCAGTCACCTCTTTCATCTCCTTCTGGCACCTTGGGTCCTGTGCAAACCAACAAAAGAACAATAATATTAAAGTTATGGTACAGTGTGTGCAATGGGGAGCTCTAAACAAGTTCAATATCAAAATTGTAGACTTTTAAAATTAAAAAAGTTATTTTTTTGTAAAGTCCCAGGGAGGTATTTTTGATTTAAAAACGTTTAAAACTTCTTGTTGACGCAGGAAGTAATGATGGGTTGGACATTTTAAAAATATTTAGAGGTTAAATCACACAAAATCTTCCTTAACAAGACATGAACAACATCAGCAGAGCCTTAAAAATACAAAGTCAAAGTTGTGCTTGATGCCAACGTCCAAAAAACTATCATGATTGAATCAATCGAAATGCATGCATCTTATAAAGAAACTTAAAACACATGGAAAAACACAAAAGTTTTATGTACCTGGAGCAGTTCAGGAAACTCAGTCTGTATCAGAGTCTTCAACTCGTTGTGGTCTAAGGTCTTCTTACAGCCCCCAGCACTGGCATACTCCTTGTAGGTCTCAACCAGGAGGGTAACGACTACCTTCAGCTTTGTGATGCCGACGGCTTGCGGTGTTGACATGGTTAAGAATGGAACAGAAGACAAACACGGGTTGACAGAGCTGCAGATGGAGTGAAAGGCAGAGGAAGGCAGCTCTCTTTATACCTGATGAAAAAACACAGGTTTGGGAACAACCCAAGCCCTACAACGCCCTCTGTGCATATTACATCATTAGTGAAGAGTAAACCTGTTTTGGGCGTGGAGTGTTTTTAAAGACTCTGATATGTGCTCATTTGTTCAAGAAAACTAGTGCGATCATTTTACAGGTCTTTGGCATCCTGTTCAATAAATCATATGCAACAGCCTCAGTGGCGCGGTGCAAACGGCCCCTTTAAATCTGATAGTAAAGGGATTGGGCTTAAAATGGCTGCGTTAACTTCATCGTAAGGGTATTACGTTCCCCCCCAGGAATCGAACAATGATAGGGGTCGCCAGTTTGGGAACTAACCAAACACTGCTCCTGTCACCAGTGTTGGGACGTTGCTAAGTAATGCATTACTGTTACACCCTATGGTTACACCACTACTATTTGCCACAAATGGGACTCCAAAGCCCTCTGCAGTAACAGATGGGTTCTTCGTCCATTAACAGTCTATGGATGCCATGTACTGATGGCGAGTTGCACAGCTGATTCACCTTTACAAACAGCTGTGAATGTTGTCTTTACATTATTAATATTGTAGCTGAGAAGAGCTGCTAAACTGTTTTTTATAGCAATGACAATAAAGATCTTTTCTATTCAAACTCTCAATGATTCAAACCCTCATGTAAAAAAAATGTAGAAAACCTTTAAGTTCATTTCACATAAAGATGGACTGATATCTTCATCAAAAAAAAACAATTGTTAAAGTCTTTCTATGTGATTTTTCACCACTTAAATGGACTGATATCTTCATCAAAAAAAAACAATTGTTAAAGTCTTTCTATGTGATTTTTCACACTTAAATATGTCAAGCTGTCAGAGAGCCCGGGGCTGCAGACGCCGGAGGCCCAGGTGCAACTCACATACTTTCATGAGGCTCAGAACCTGCCTCAGCTCCAACTCTCAGGCTGTCCTTAGGTTGACTGTAAGTTAGGGTGAGACGGCATTTCCAGCATGGAGACCGCCACAAATGGGACTCCAAAGCCCTCTGCAGTAACAGATGGGTTCTTCGTCCATTAACAGTCTATGGATGCCATGTACTGATGGCGAGTTGCACAGCTGATTCACCTTTACAAACAGCTGTGAATGTTGTCTTTACATTATTAATATTGTAGCTGAGAAGAGCTGCTAAACTGTTTTTTATAGCAATGACAATAAAGATCTTTAATTGAGGGACTAGAGAAAAGAAGAATAACATACTGTACTCACTGCTTAACTGTGTTTCTAGATCACGCTCATTTCAGGTAAATTTACATGCAGTGTGAAGATACGAGCATAATAAAGATCGCTAGCATTAGCATGCTAACACAACAATGCACCGCGAGTTGTTTTGGTTTCATGCTGGTGCTCAAGGGCGACATCTACTGGATCAAAAAATCACATATAAAGCCTTTAATGAAACTCGAAGGAGGACATACCGGCTGCTGCATTGTTGTGAGAGAGAGCCAGCATTGACATCGCATATTTTTATAATTTAAGTCATAAGATATCTGACAGATTGATCCTTTAAGGAAGTGGAAGATCCTTCATGGCAGGCGGAAAATGATTCCCGGGTCAGTTGAGGAGAGAGGATGCAGGGATGTGAATATCAGTGTTGAGAAAAGTTTGCTCCTACACAGCACACTCCCATCCGCACTCTCAGGTCTGATGACGATTCACTCAGCTCACGGTGCGATAAGATTCACAATACGATTCTCTCACGATGTATTTTCCTAAATGAGACTGTAGACAAATGATGACTGAGAAAGATTCTTTAGGGGCTTCAAACTCACTTGTCAGTTTGGTTTGGGCCTTTTTAAGGTATTTTTTTCTCTCAACAAGTGGAGGTGATTGGAGCTTCACATTGAGGTTTTAATTAAACGCTGCATCATGTTGGTTGTGCTGTTTGTGTAGTTCTCTGTCTTCTTGTAATATTTGCACACAGTTTTTGTTTATTACGATTCATTTTTCAGAGTACCGATGTGAATCTTGGACACCTTGGAATTGATTACGATCACGATTTACGATTCATCTTTACATCCCTACTGATGACGCAAAAACCTTTCATATCCCCAACCATCGGTCCTGGGGAACAGAGCCTTCCCATTGCCGCTCCCACCTCACTCCCCCTTCAAGAAGTCCCCAAAACTAACCTCTTCAACATCGCCTACAACCACTAACCAGCTCTGTTCTCATCCTCCTTCTCTTTGACTATGTCTTTGTTATATTGTTGTCACTGTTTTGTTTTGTTGTTGTTCTTTGGTAAGCGTCTTTGAGTTCATAGAAAAGCGCTATAAAAGTCTAATGCATTATTATTATTATAGTCAGTAGTGGTTGATTTCGAACACAGAGCATGCGTTCTGTAAGGAAACATTGCATGTTTTTTCCGGAGGAGTCTGGTGGCTTTGAAGAGAGCCGAGTCATGACGGTTTGTGGTTAAAATACTCACTTAAGGTTGGGCAGCTATCTTAGATCTTAAAAACAACACGCCATCTTCTAAAAAAAGGCAACAGACATGCCAACGTTCCCACATGCATAGACATGCACATAGAGGTGGAGTCCTCCACAGCCTGACAAGGATGTCGATAGCTAGCCATCTCTCTGTGGTTTCCCTTGAATAATGCCGATCCCACCTTCAACAAAAATGTCTCTCTCTCTGTAAGGAACCTCCCTGTCAGACACTCAAAGCCTGTCAGTTATTAAAACAGCCCTATAGTGGATGTATTTTGAATGGACACATGCATTCTTTTCTGAAGGAGCGATATTTCTTTAGTTTTATTTGCTCACAAGTTGCCAGGATTTTATCAGAGCTATGGGAGTTGACCACCAGCTGCACTGCACGCTCATCCTGACGGTCTTCAGTTCTGTCCACACCTCTCACCAGTTTCTCCTGTCTTGACTGATGTTATGGTCTTTGTACTGCCATCATCATGAGCATATTCTTTAAAGGTCTAAACATGTTCCAAAATGGCAAATTCCAAACTTGATTGGAAAACAGAGGACAAACACGGGTCGGCAAAGCAGTAGATGGAGTGGAAAAAAGAGTCAGGACCCTCTTTTTATACCCTCTGTAAAATCCGGTTGGGGTCTCTTACAAGACATATTCTCCCCCTTCTCCACCTTTTCAAACAGTCCCCCTGTGGTCTAAATGAAACATCTGTACTGTGATTTGGTCAAAATATAACATGAATCAAGCACCAGAGGAGGTTTGTGACCCTGTATAAACCAGCTCGCTCAGAACGCTCCGTTTTGGCGTGTGTGTCTCTTTAAATGTAATGACCCCCCCTGAGTTTTCCCCGTAGACATCACTCCTCTGTAGAGAGAATAAAAATGGCGGACCTGCGTAAAAGTTTTGTTCTAGGCTGGGGGTGGAGTCCATGGGTGGAGATATCAGGGGAGGGGAGGGGATTTTTTTTTACCAGAATCCCACTGTGACATCACAAGGAGAGTACATTAGAAACAGAGCATTTTTCTCTGTGTTATAAGACTTATACAGACCACAAACAAAGGACTGGATGGGTTTATTTCACATTTTGTGGTAGGTAGACACTCAGGTTAGCCAAATATATGTTCAGAAACACTATGAAAGTGGATTTTTCATAATAAAAAAATAAATTTTAAAGGTCAAACACGATTGATGTTGGCTTGAACTGTGCCAACACTTGAGGCCTACAACGCCCATGGGGCTTATTACATAATGCACAAGGTGTGTCCTTGTTTACGTAAAGGAAGGACTTTGTTAATAACCACAAATGCAATTGTGTGAGATTCTGGAAGACAATCAATATGATTAAATTACTGAGGTAATAAAACAATATGCTGGTCTTAACTGTACTTCCTATATTTATCCCCACTACAGAAAAACATTTAAACGCAGTGTTGCAATGTCCGCTGTGTGAGAGTGTGAGACGTGAGAGGGATATGAATACACAAAAGATGTTTTCATTTCTTCTGGTTTAACTGGTCTGTCACATGAACAACATCTTCTTGTTGGCATGGAGAGCATGGAGACACTGTTCAAAAAATTCTACCTACAATGTACAGAGTTCAAACCTGCAGAGTGCATACTTCAATACGGACTCATGATGTGGGAATGTGATTCAGTCCTGAGGGTGAAAAAGCAGATGTTGACTGAATTAAGTAATAAAGAGTATTACTAAAGGGGTATTTTGAAACCTCGGCCAAGCGGCATCATCTTGTGTTTAAAAATGAAGTGAAGTGCAAAGACCTGCATTTTCTCAAGTGTCCACTTGAGGCTGGCTCCAAAAGCCTTGTGAATTAAAATGCCCAAATAAACATGTTTACAGCCTGTTAGAAAAAAAACCTTTTCTAGCTCAAATGTCTTTATTTGTACAGTGGTGATTTTTTTTGATAAATCGTTCCATTTTGATTATATTATAGATAGAGTCAGTAGCTTTTTTCCTCAAAAGTAAAATATAGATTTATACAAAAGTAATAAGCTCACTTGCTTGTTTCTTTACCTAATACACTTGGATTTTCTGGTGCTGTAAAATTGTCAAAGCAGGTGTGAAATAAATGTTTTTGGAAACTTTCTGGATGCCAATAATAAAATAAAATAAATAAAAACATGGATGGAAAGTTTCTCTTGCCTTTTGCCCTCCTTATCAGTTAAGAACTGGAGGTTTTGTACATTTGTCTACCAGAGCAGAGCAAGTCTTGTAAAACATTTTTTAAGACCAGGATCGTTTGCATGAACAAACCATTTGACAAAGTGGCTGCAAAGGATGAACCTGAGGAAGCCACTTTGCAAAACATGTTGTTCACTCCAATGTTTTATATACGTTAAACTTTAAAGACAATCTGAACAATCCTGGTGTGCACTTGATTAATCTTGAAAGCTGTTTGCTTCTGCTCTACCTACACCCATCACATTTGATTTTCACAGTGCATCATTTAAATTTTTTCTGTTTATTATACATTTCATCAACAGATTCTGATAAACTTCAACAACAGTGAATGTGAACCCTTCATCACTCCTGATTTCATGTAAGTAACAATAAACTTCACAGTCATGTAAGTGGTAAGTTAATCATTTAATTTAGGGGATAAACCAAACAGTCACCACAGGGACTTTTATCTCTTTGCTGGCGCCATCTGTCCCCACCTTGGGGTGTGCTCACTTGGAACAGCGGTCGTGGCAGGCGCAGGTTACAGCAGCTACCAACACAACAAATTCACTGAAGTCCACCTCAGAGTCTCCGTTAAAATCCAGACCTTGGATCAGCTTGTCCACCTCACTTTGGTTCTTCGCTGCCTGCACAGAACAACAAAACATTATTTTAACTCTTACAGTAACAAGTACAGTGGTGAATGCTCTTTTTGTGTCTTTTTCTGCTGTATTTTTCAAGACTTTAAGTTTTATTTAAGTCTTTGTTTTCAGAAATTGCTGCAACTTAAGTCACTGGTGGACTGAACAACATGCTTACCCATTGTGCTTAATTTAAAATAAAGCTTAATTTCACAAAGTCTACCTTCACAAGACATCAAAAACATCAACGAATCTAAACAAGTTGTGGTTGTTTATATTGTGCAAGGTTCCCCAAAGTGCAGTATTGGGGCCTTTGTTGTTTATTCAGTACATTAAAGGTCACATATTCTCCTCCTCTTCAACAAGTTTAAATATGTCTCAGAGCTCCTCAAAACATGTGTGTGAAGT